TGAAAAAAATAATTATTTGGTAGATGAAGAGGCAAGACCATGACCAAATAATTTCTCAATGGAAGACAAATTAGATGAATATTATAGGGTATATGTCACGCCCCAGAACCCAAATTCGGGGACGTGGCAGACGCCGTGCACTCGTGAGATGGGTCCCACAAATGCAGAAGGCTCGGAACTTATCCAATTCACACTCTGATACCATCAAAATCTGAAGATCAATTTTATAAACTCTCTGATATCATAAATCTCCAATACCAGATCATGATTATATCTAAAACTTCATATCCAATTACAATATGGCTAGCCTTCTAACTCGTCACTTCCCGTGGTTTCCCCGTCCTCGGTTTCACTTCCTGAAATGGTGAACAAGGAAAAACTATGAGATAAACTCAGTAAGTAAAATATGGAGTGCCCTTAATTAAACTTGTAGCATGCCAACATGTGCAATCACACAAATCGGATTCAGTACGGGAACGAAATAGACGTCTCCTCTATAGGTCATGGCCAGTGTATTAAACTTCCCACTGGCAGGCTACACTTGAATGAACCGGTTTTATCAATAACATGTCGACATGTGCTAGCGTTTAACCCCCACTAGCAGGATTTCAATCAATAACATAACCATATCAAAGACAAAACAGGCAAAAGTTCACAGAAAATCATTCTTTATCAATCACTTTCAAATCATCAGGACAATCAATCAAATTTCCAGTAGGCATGCTCAATTTAATGAAAAGCATAAAAATTTCATTTCAAATCAATCATACTTACTTTTGTATAAAACGGGTTTAGTCCCGCCACCACTTCAAAAACAAATCAAAACATGCTTTTAAAACAGTACGGGCATTACCATAAATTTACTTACCTCACTTGCATAAAACCGAGCACTCAATTCACACGCTAACTGACAGAACGATCGAGAACCTAATCAAAACACCTCAGAATTAATACCGGACGATCACAAATTCAAGCTAAAATCATCATTAGGATCATTCCTAATCACAATGCTATTTCTATCACTCTCCACATGATCAAATATCTCCAAATTCGTTCTTATATCACAAACTAATCACTTAAATCCCCGTTAATTGTTGGCCCTCGGGGTGTGAACAGTGTCGGTGAACAGTACCCGTGAACAGTACTCCAACGTGAACAGTAACCCCGACTTTCACAAATTGGCCAAAACACTAGCTAATCACGGGATTTTCTCTCCAAAAATCACAGCAATCAACTCAAGCAATTTACACATGAATTACGCAACAAAACACACTTAAAACCCCTCTTAATTGCTACCGGAATTTCCCCATTTCCTAGCCAAATTCGGACATCACAAGCAGCAACTTTAAATGGATAATTTAAGCCTTAAAAGGCTGTCACATACCAGAATTTTCCAGCAAGCAAAACCGGAGTGCAGATTGGGGAGGAGGCCGGCGGCAAGTGCAGGGGAGAAACTCACGGAAACTACCCAAAAATTGGAGGAAATAAGAGCAATCAAAGTTAACCCAGGGCAATTCAAGCAAGAACAAAGGAATTAGGGGCTGTTCTTACCAGAAAAATATGCCCAGAAATCACCCACAAAGCAGGAGCAGCCGGACGGTGAGGAGCAGAGCAAGGCAGATCCAGATTTTCCAGCAAGGGAGGGAGAATTTCAAGGCTCAAATCTGGTTTTAGAACAAGAAAAGAAGGAGAAAACCAAGCTTATCTCACTAGTTTCTCAAGCATGGCTGGGTTCCCCTTTTTTTTCTTCGGGTGGCTGCAGCGGGAAGAAGAAGAGCAGACTCGGGAATGGCTGGGAAGAAAAGAAAGAAAGAAAAAGAAGAAGAAAAGAAGTCATCCTTATCC